AGCCCCCACTGGGAGGCAGGTGAGTACTGTTCCTGCTTCAGCAGAACTCTAGCTCAAGGCCAGCTATTGTCTTCCAACTTGAGAAACAGCCTTTCAGGAGTTGAAACTCCCGCTTAATTTGAAGTTGCTTTTAATCCCATGGACAGAGGAGCCTAGCGGGCTACAGTCCATAGCGTCACACAGAGTTGAACACAGATGAAGTGACTTAGCATGCACACATGCATGCACGTGCAGACTTGGGTAGGTAGCCGAACTGAACTGTTTGGAGTTGGGGAACAGAGTTCCATGACACTGGGGGGAAAGGCCTTGTGGTATTCTGAAGCAGCAGTGATTTCCATAACAATCACCCCAAATCTTCGCCTTGTTTGTTCTCTGAGGCCCTGACACAACTGCCTTTTCAGGCAACCTATTATTAAATTCCTATTATCCAGGCGAGACAGCCTGGTAGAGAGCGGATTATCTCCTCCCTGCCTTCTGCATGACAAGTCAGCCCCAACCTTCCCCCACACACACCCCACCCAGTAAGAGGGTGAATCAGGGTCTACTCAATATCACCCCCAGGCACTCTTCCCCTTTGACTTCATTAGAAGCACTTTTTATGCTAGGGTGACCTATTGATGAAACCTCAGCCCCTTCTACAGCAAGGCAGGAGTCAAACAATCAAAGACAGCACAGGGTGGAGAAATCAGAAAGAGCATTTGCATGAAATCAAGGGTTGGTGATGATCTTTGCAGACAGCAAGTAAAATGAACCTTGTTCAGAAAAGTCAACATGCTGCTGGATTAACTCCATTCAGCCGCGTGTGGAAGCCCCTGAGGGCTGGTGGACTTGGACGTGTGGTTTGTGGGTAGGGCAAGGTGGCCAAAGCATCCCCGCCCACAGCCCTGTAGCACTTGCTCACACCAGGGGGCTTGCTTTAGCCTGGAACCTCCACAAAAACAAAGCAGTTCTGTGCATCCTGCATCCCGCTCTGTAGGGTGGCTGGCAAGTAAGCAGAGTTCAGTGAATGTTCAGCAAACAAACACATGAATAAAAATAATAGATACCATTTATTGGACCCTTACTATACACTTTACGTGGGTTGTTCCATTTAATCTCACAGCAACTTAATAATCAAGCATCACTATCCCTTTCATAGCACAGGAAACTGAGGCTCAAGCAGGTTTTGTAACATGCTCGAGTTCTTACAGGCAGTGCGTAACAGGGCTGGGATTCGAAGCCAGGCATGCATGCATCTTTGCTTGCTTACTCCTCCAGCCATCTCTATGAAGAGTCCCGTGACTGGCCCAACTGCAGGAAACTGTGGCAAGCTTGGTAAATAGCCAGGGTGGGTGGGAGCAAATAAAGAACCGGCAGCTCCCACCCCTATCAGTAAAGAACCTCAAATTTAGCCTAGAGACCAGCCATCTGAGAGTGGGGCCTTTTTGTGAAAGGAGTGGCCTCATGGTGAATATCAACTAAATCAACCACAAGATACTTTCTTCTTGAAAGACAGCCCCAGACCTCTGCAGTGACTGGTCTTCTGCCCCATGCCCTGTACCCCATAGCTCCTGAAAATTACGAGTGATGATTGGTACATGACTCAGAGAGTATCATAACCGCACATGACACTGGGGCTAGCTCCAATGCCCAAGATCTTGGGGCCTTCTCTCTAAGAATATATTATTATGGGTTTCCAAGGTCAAGGTAACACAGGGCAGGGAGGACAAGTTTCATTTATTGCCTACTACATATTAAACCAGAAGATGCCACTAACCTGATCTATTAAGTTACTTGTGGAGCTGTTGTCACCACAAAAAGCATCAAGTCTTCATGGAGGATTGTGTCCCCCATTTATTTTTCAGCAAGGATGTCTGTCATTTCATATCAATTTATAAGAGCTCTTTATGTCAGAAAGACATCACCCGTTGTCAAATGTGCTGCAAATCCTTTCCTCAGTCTTTTGCCTTATGATTTTACTTAATATGTTTTCAACATGTACAAGTCAAGCTTTATGTTTGCATGCCTTTCCATCTTTCCCTTTTTAGTTTCTGAAACTTCTCCCAGACCAAGATTATATAAATATTAATATCTTATTTTGGCTTTTTGACTATGTAATTTTTAAACATTAAATGGTTCAGTTCCACTTAGAATTTAGTTATATGCATGGACAACATATTGTATTGCTTGCCATTTACCACTTAACCCAGCTAATTGGGCATAAACTCAGCCCATAAGATCCCGTCTGAGAAACAACAACAGCAAAAACAGTCTATCCAGTTAGTCCACCAAATGTTCACATCACAGGCCATGAGTACAAATGAAAGACTCAAGAGACCCCAGTAATGAATCTAGCCGTTATAGATGATTGAGACAATGGGCCCAGCTTTTCCTTAATGGAAGTCCTTGTTACTGCAACACCTTCTGCTCCGTGATGAGAGGAAGCAAGGGCTATAGACACTGTCTAAAGAACTTAGAAGAATGTGTTAAAAATGCATAGTTTGGCTAAGATCCCTTCCTGCCCAGCCCAACGTTGAGGCTTACTGCTTTGGAGGGGCGCATTTCCACTCTCACAGTCCCATTGAGTCTAGGCCACTTATAATTAGATTCTCCTGGAGGTCATGGCCAAGTTCAAGTCCAGAGGCAACTTCTAAAGCCATAGAATAGAAATGAAACTTGTGTAAAGACTGTCTGACAGCCAGACAACAAATTGAACAGATCTGCATTCTAAGCCTTGGGGGTGGGGGGTGAGGTGTTAGAGAAGGGACCAAAGCAGAGGTTTAGGGGTCTGTAAATATTCTTCTCTTAGTGGAACACATACTGCTTCGTGGGCAATCTCTTCCTCCTCTGGATTATTAACATAGAATGCCTAAGTGAAGGTACCAGGGGTAAATCACAGCTTAGTAACAAAATTCACAGCAAAAAGCAAATGAGAACAAAATGCATGCCAAATCTAGGCCATTTACCCAATCAAAATGCAGAAGGTTTTCCCCAGATGTGTTCCAGAATGGCCTGCTTCATTTATGACAGCCAAAGGTTGGTAGGGTTTTCAAGGTAAGAAAGGGAAAATTAAGTCCTGTAAAGTGTCTCTCAGTTAAACGTATCATCCATTTCTTCAGTTGTTCCCGGTAAGTGCGTTACCCTGGACCAGTACCTGTCTGCCCAGCCCCCCTCCCTTGGAGAACATGTCCTCTGGTTTCCACCAGACCCTGTTAGGCAGGGACCAAGTGTCAGAGAAATCACATCCTGCCATCTCCTTCCATTTTGATTTGTGGCTCATTCAGTGGTTTTAGACTCTCTCTGCCACTGTTCCCTTCCACAAGGGTGATCACCGAAAGACTGCTTCTTAATGGAAGGCAACACCTGCAGTGAATCATGCCCACACACTGAACGGCATCTTTTTCACAGAAAACGGATGCTGCATCTCATGTGAGGAGAATTAGCATCAGGCGCTGGAGCTCTAACATGAGCCCTCGATACCCAGTCGTTATTGATGAACCCCTAAACTCCTTCTTACTAAAACCAAGTTAAATTAAATATTCCAAACTCACAGATTTCAAAGAAACCAGAAACAGACAATGGCAACAAAAACTCAGTTCAGTGTTCAGGCTTCAGACTCCGGGATTCACGGGGAATGAGCAAACAGCTGGCTAGACACACCAACATGTACACCCACACACACACACACACACACACACACACACACACACTCCTTCTCTCTCTCTCTCTCTCACACACACAAACATACATACACACAGGAAAGCTGAAAATTCATGCAAGTCAGTGTTGGATTTTTAGCCCAAGTGACGAATACTAGTATTTTTGTACATCTTGTCAAATAAATACCAATCCTCTAAAAAATGCTGTTTTTTTTCCCCAAGACCTAGCTAATCCTGGCCATTTGTGGGTGAGTGCTAAAAGTCTGAAATGTTAAAGAGAAAAAAGAAAGTGCTTTCTCATAATAGTACCCAAAATCTGGATGCAAACTAAAATACCTGCACTTAACCCTTCAGATATCACACACATGCATTCTCTAAAGCACCCAACCAAAACCCAGCTTTTAACTTGAATTATGTGTCACAAACCTGATATAGGGTCAGAACCACAAAGTATAGACTATGAAATGGGCTTGAATGCTACTCTTAAAACCAAGGTATTTTGGTAACTTGGTTATCTCAGAAGCATCAAAGAGCAGTGTCCTAAAAGCCAGCTCTCCCCTGGGCTGCCCTCACAGCACAAGCAGCCTCCTGAGCTGCAGGGGGAGGTTTAGGCTGTTAGCTGGTGAATCTGATCAATATGGACACACCAGACTCATAACTCTCATTCCTGAAAACTCATCCCTAGATTAGAGCACCCAATATATGAGGCTGGCCTCATTACCCAGAGCCAGGGTCGAGGTAAAGCTTAGTGGTTTGAAGGCCCTACTTTTGAAAATCTCAGACCTGGATTCGTACCCACACTTGCCAGCTGAGTGCTCCTGAGAAAGGCAGGGAAAGCTCTTGGAATCACTCCTTCCATCTGTCAAATGGAGGTAATAAGCCAGCCCATTGAAGAGGTGGCCATGAGGCTTAAGAGGAACAGTGACCAGCAAGCTCCAGTCACCAATGATGCTGGCTCCATTCACAAACACCATCCTCTTTACTGTGGGGCTGGATAGTTTGAGAAGAGACACTCAAGAGGCTATTGAAGGAAGAGTGTGCTTTCTGAGGCTAATAACCTACAAGGACAAACATTTGCCCTGGTAGTTAATTTTAAATGTTAAAGTAATTGCAACAAGATAAGAACTGCTGCTGTAGCCAAGAGTCCCAATAAAAGGATTGAAAGGGAAAGAAAGAGCCTGCCCTTTACTGTGTCCTTTCAAGTTTTCTTAGGGACCTGAATATCTCATGGTTTGAGAATCCAGGCACCAGCCAGCAGCCCCAGCCCCACTCCAGAGTAACCACTGATGTCTGGATGATGGCAACTCTCCGGTGAAAGTTGCCAGTTGATGCAAACTGCCTAAGAGGACTGTTTCCTTCTAGGGTTGAAGAAAGCTTCAAAACCTTATTTTGGTCCATCTTTGGCTTGTCGGAAGTGATCTCGGTGGTGCTGAAATATGACCACAAATTCATCGAGAACATCGGCTATGTTCTCTACGGCGTTTATAACGTCACCATGGTGGTCGTGCTGCTCAATATGCTAATAGCCATGATCAACAACTCGTATCAGGAAATTGAGGTAAGACCAGTTAATTGAAAATGCTCTCTCCCCCTGGGTTTAATATGTATCCCTGTTTGAGGGATGATGAGGGTAATGATGTTAGAAACCCATGTGTTATTAAATGTGAAGCCAGGGCAAACAACAGGCATTCTTCCTGGATGCTCCAAGCAGCGCTTCCAGTCAACCAGCCACAAGGCATGACTGCACTAAATCTGTAATGGCCCAACGAGGGCAGAAGAGTCGGGGTCATCAATCTTTGCTCTTTTACACGTACCGCCTCAGATGAGCACTCAGGTGACCCATGGCAAATCGGAATGCTACTTATTTCTACCCACATTCACTTCTGCCTCTCCTATGTTATTTATTAAGTACCTACTATATGCTGAGCCTGTGTTTGGCCCTGGTGATACAGAGATGACCAAGACACGATCTCTGCCCTTGAAGAGGTTTCCACTCAGTACAGTCAGGAAAAACGTATACACCAACCACCACATGACCGTGCAGCGGGGCCAGTGCACCCAGAGAAGTCCTAGCAGGTGTAGGAGGTGCAGGGCAGAGAGTGAGCGATTGTGTGGGGAGGAAGCTTGCAGAGGCCATTCAAAGACTGATTTTGCTAGACAGACAAAGGCATCAAAAGTATATCGGGAGGCAATTTATCAAAATCTAAAATGCATGAACCGTGAGCTATTGATTGCAGCCTTGTTTGGAACAGCAAGAAACGAAAAACAAACTAACTGAGCGTTAATAGGAATCTAGTTAAGTAGATTATGATGCATCTGAACCATGGGATACTGTGCAGCTTTTATAAAGGATGAGGACGTGCTCTATATTCTGATGTAGAAAGGCCTCCAATTATAATAAGTAGAAAAAAATCAAGCTTCAGAACAATGTATATATTGAGCTCTCTTTACACAGAGAGGAAGATGAAGGAAAACATATTTCTTTTTTATAGTAAAATCATTTGAAAAAGATAAATAAGCTGAAAGTGTGCACAAGAAGGGGAGTACTGTTGAGAGGTGGGGGTTGGAGGACAGGATAGCTGTAAACGCTTTTTCTTTAAACCCTTTCATGCTTAAAATCATATCATTGTTTACCTATTAAAAGTTAAATGAATAAACTCAACATTAAAACACAATAAAATGCACTGATGCTTTTGATACAACAATTCCATGCAGAAATATAATTTTGCATAGATGTTCATTAAAAGAAAACCTTGGAAATAGCCCATCAACATGTTTAAATAAACTGAGATAGCACAGACGTTAAAACACTGTTTATAAACAATAAGACTTTTTTTGTGCTGACAGAGCAAATCTCTGTGTTATTGTGAAATGAAAAAAATGCAAGCTGTAGAAAAATATCCTTGGGCAAATCTCATTTACATAATAATACAAATGTGCCTATGCAGAAAGCAAAGGTAGGAAATGGTACCCTCTGAGGAAGGGAGTAAAAAAAGAAAGGAGTTTTGAAGGGGGACTTTCACATTTGCTTGGTATACCTAGGTACTTAAATCTCTTATAAGAAACAATTATTCGTGTATAGAAAATAATTGATTGTCTTGTATTAGTTTGCTAGGGCTCCCACAACAAAATATCACAGACTGGGTTGCTTAAATAACACAAAGTTATTCCCTCATAGCCCTGGAGGCTAGAAGGTCCAGGTCAAGCTAACTGGCTTGGTTTCTTCTGAGGCCTCTCTTCAGCTTTCAGATGACTGCCTTCCTGCTACGTCTTCTCAGGGCCTTTCCTCCATGCGTCTCTTCTACGTACGACGATACCAGTCATGATGGATTGGGACGCCACCCTTATAGTGTCATTTAACCTTAATTACCTCTTTAAAGACTCCCTTTCCAAATACAATCACATTCTAAGATGCTGGTGCTTAGGGCTTCAACATATGCATCTTAGGGGGAAGCTTTGGTCCCTAAAACTCCTCCAAAAAACAATATTCTATACAGTAGGAACAGTATGTACCAAGGCAGAGAGGGTCAAACAATGCGGTACACTTGACACTAGGCTACCCAGGTGGCACAGTGGTAAAGAATTTGCCTGTCAATGTAGGGGATGCAAGAGATGCAGGTTTGATCCTGGGGTCAGGAAGATCCCCTGGAGTAGGAAATGGCAACCCACTCCACTATTCTTGCCTGGGAAATCCCGTGGACAGAAGAGCCTGGCGGGCTACGGTCCTTGGGGTTGCACAGAGTCAGACACGACTGAGCATGCCTGTAATACTTGGCTCTGCGCTCAAGAGTGTAGACTGAACAAGGAAAAAAGACAAGAGGAGAGAGGAAGAGGTGAACCTGCGTGAAGCCTTAGTCTTAGCCCCCAGCTCTAACACCCCAGCCACCTACAGAAAAAGTCAGCACTGCATCAGCAGACAAACAACATATATACATAAGTGTTCTACACACTTGGTCACCTATGTGGATAATGAGCTGTTGCTAACTAACCTTCTCGGGCCTCAGCTTCCCCACGTGTCAGAGACCCCAGATGGTGCCTGGCATACGTGGGTCTCTAGAGCACCCGCCCCAGGTTTCTGCCCCATCCTGTGGAGCACATGGTTTGTTGGTCCAAATGAATATGGCATGGGAAGTCACGTGACTGGCAAGGGGGATACCTACTAGTTCGGGACAGGAGTGAGCAAGCCCATGGCTCGTGATGTCAAGTTATCCACCATAGGGTGGTGCCAGGAGACAGAGAGAGTGGACTGCAAACCACCCTCCCCTTGGGCACTGGGCTTCTCCTTGTGGGGTGGGGGTGCACAGTCCCCACCCGCTCACCGCTGACTCCTGTACAAGGACCCTGAGGACTGCAGCCGGGATGTGCTCGGGGTGTTCGTGGTCACCCTGAACTTTGGTGGAGTAAACCCCTGTAAATCTGTAAATCCCTGCAGGAGAACTTATTCAATAGCTCTTGAGCATCTACATCTAAATCCACAGACGTGCCTGCCTCCGAGCCTGCTTCCACCCCCTCCATGGACCTCCAGTGGGCAGACACGCCTTCTCCCCCTGAGCAGCGCCTCCCATGTCCCTGGGCCCCCAGCCCTCCCCTCCTCAAGAGCAGCCCTCCCTGCCTGCATCCTCACCCTCTCTTTCTCTATCTAATCCTTCCTGTCAGCATCTAAATGCATCTCTTGAGCTTGAAAATAAAAAAAAGTAACTACAAACAATCCTCCCTCCACCTCACTTTGCAGCTCTCAACCTCTTTCTCTCCTGCTCATTACTGCCCACAAAGAGCTGTTTATGCTTCTCACTGCCTCTCCACTAATTAACTGCTACTCTTCTCCACCCCAGCACACCCACACTTGACCTGGTTGAGAACTCCTCACCCTTTGGATCTCAGCATAAACACTAGCCTTTGGGGCAGCCCTCCCTGACCCCCAGGGGCAGACCCCCCTCCCCAGCATCTCCCCCAGCTGTCAGCCCAGATCTAGATACAAAGAGCTGATAAGTTAAGACACTCATGTCACTGGCCAGGCTCTGTGTCCCAGGAGGTCATGTTTGCCAAACCCAGTGCCTCCCCAGCACAGGCCAGGCATACAGAAGGTGAACTGTAGGTCGGCACATAGGAGGAGGTTGGCTGAGGTTGAACACCAGGCACTGGGGTAAGCTATGGAGATACAAATAATATTTACTGAGAGTTTACTAAGTATTAATATCTGACATTGGTTTTCATGCATTAACTTCTTTAATTACCATAACAGCCTGTGAAGTAGGTGTTACTGTCCTCATTTTATCGATGAGGAAATTGAGGCCCAGAGCAGTGAAGTCTCCTGCTATGGGGACACAGCTAGTAAGGAACAGAGGCAGGATTTGAACCCAGGCAGGCTTGGGAGCCTGTGCTCCCACCACCATATCACCCTTCCTCTCAGGTCGGGAGTCCCACCTACACCTCTCTGTCGTATGGCAGAGATCAGAAATGACCCTGCCCTCACGGAGCTTCCGGTCTAAAAGGCCTGTGCAGCGTGTCCGCATAGACCAGGCCAGGTGCTGACGGGGTCTCAGCAAAAGCAGACAAATTGGTCAAGCTCGCTGGTGGTGACCTTATGCTCTCCTGGCATGCCAGCAGCCTCAGGTGGGACCTGGCTAGGCTCACAACCCCTTGAAGTGTACCCACTGCTCCCGGGACACATAATCAATGCCAACCCCAGGGCCATGGGAGGCCGGCAGTGTGATCACCATGAGCAGAGGAGGAAGCCCAAGGCTACTACCTACATCACACAGCTGGTAACAGTCCAGGTGATTCCAAACCCCTAGCCTCAGGCTGCCCTCTGAGGACAGGGGCCCATGGAGCCAGGCCACCTATAGAGAACATACCCCCGCTAGCTCTCAGGGGGCCCCCTCAGCATTCTGGCATTGACACCAAGTCCGAAGTAACAGATCTGGGCTTTAAGTCTACCGCCACCACCAGGGACGAGCAGCCTGCATCTTGCCAGCTACATTCAGGTTTGCTCCCTTGAATTACATATGCTAGCTGTTGTTGTTCAGCCTCTAAGTCATGTCTGACTCTTCACGACCCCATGGACTGCAGCACACCAGGCCTCCCTGTCCCTCACTATCTCCTGGAGTCTGCCCAAGTTCTAGTCCATTGAATCAGTGATGCCATCCAACCATCTCATCCTCTGTTGCCCCCTTCTTTCACCTTCAGTCTTTCCCAGCATCAAGTTCTTTCCCAGTGAGTCAGCTGTTTGCATCAAGAACCAAAGTACTGAAGGTTCAGCTTCAGCATCAGTTCTTCCAATGAGTATTCAGGGTTGATTTCCATTAGGATTGACTGGTTTCATCTCCTTGCTGTCCAAAGGACTCTCAAGAGTCCTCTCCAGCACCATAGTTCAAAAGCATCAATTCTTCGGCTCTCTAGACCTATGCTAGACCTCTTAACATTGTTGGCATCACTCTAATCCACTTTCTAGTAGGAAATACACAGTGATATCTAATATGGTAGCCACAAAACCACATGTACTGAGCACCCGAAACATGGCCAGTCCAAACTGAGATGTGCTGTGAGTATAGATCACATGCCAATTTTGAATACTTGGTATGCAAAGAAAATATAAACTATCTTATGAATCATTTCTCTAATGATCATATGCTGAAATGATAACATTTTGGGTCTACTGCATTAAGTAAAATACATCACTGAAATTAATTTCACTTGTTTCATTTTACTGTTTATAATATGACTCCTAGAACATTTAAATGCCCCACGGGGTCCACCTCTGTGGCTGATGGGATGGGTCTGCTGGAGGGTGCTGCCTCTGATGGTGTGCTGTTGTTTTTCTCGCCCTGCAGGAGGATGCAGACGTGGAGTGGAAGTTTGCCCGAGCAAAGCTCTGGCTGTCTTATTTTGATGAAGGAAGAACTCTACCTGCTCCTTTTAATCTAGTGCCAAGTCCTAAATCATTTTATTATCTCATAATGAGAATCAAGATGTGCCTCATAAAACTCTGCAAATCTAAGGCCAAAAGCTGTGAAAATGACCTTGAAATGGGCATGCTGAATTCTAAATTCAGGGTAGGTAGCGTGGGGCTGGAGGGGAAGCAGATGGGGGAGAGGGGAGCTGTGTGTCTTTGATTCACAGGATGCCCCTGAAACCAGGCAAGTCAGGAGCTCCGAGGAGGGACCCGGTGCTTTTCAGAGTCAGCTGGCACCTGAGCACAGCTGCAGGACCAGCAGGGGCCGCTAACCGGCCTCAGTGCCCCTCTGCCTGTTGGACTGAGCTGGGACCCCACGGAGAGAGTCCTTAGTGGACTCGAAGGCAGATAGCTCTCCCCAAAAGTAGCTGGATTGTACTTTGGGACACCTGGGAAGGGAGGCTCCCAGTCCATTATCTCCCCTCCTGGAGATCCTCAATTGTTAGCATATTAAAAATCTCTAGGCAGTCACTCTAACTGAGTGCTCTCCAAACAAAGCTGACCAAACAGTAATTCTGTAACCCACTGGCAACCTGCAGAGCCAGAGGCCCCAGGACATATGTTCCAGGAAGCCAAGCCACAGTGGATACAGGGACCTCCTGGGGGTCCTCATTTTAGAGGCAGCCCCCTATGCAGGTGCTATTTGAGTCTTACCGTGTAGGTATGTATTAAGTATTATGTAATATGTATCACATACTATGTATCTTGGTTTTTTTTTTTCCCAGAAGACTCGATACCAGGCTGGCATGAGGAATTCTGAAAAGCTGACAGCAAATAACACTTACAGCAAGCCCACCAGATACCAGGTAAGCACCCCTTTCCCAGGTATAGGCAGAAGTGGACTCCGTGAAGACACCAGTATCGTCAAAGGGCTGTGTCATTCCCCCTAGAACACAGCTTCATTCCTTCCTGCAGTCAACATTTATTTATATGCCAGGCACTGTGCTGCTTCCTGAGGATACAGACAAGGTTCCTATCTTAGTGGCACTTCCAGACATAGAGGGAGAGACACTATGGATCAGTAAACATGCAATTAAATATGTAACTTCAAATTGATCAAAGTGCCAAGATGAAAAAACTCAGGTGCAAAAATGGAGAAAACCAGGGAGCTCCTGCTTCCATGCGGTTAGAAGTTACATCTTTAAGGAGAGGACAGCTAGCTAAGACCCCTTAGATGAGAAGGAGGCAACCACAGGGGGCCTTTCAGGCAGAGGGAGAGCGCAAGCCAAGGCCAGAGGGGAGAGGCCTGGCAGGTCCAGAACTCAATGAGCAGTGGGGGAGGGGAAGGCGATGAGGTCAGAGTTCAAATCGGGACTGAAGCAAGGTCAGGGTGTGGGTTTTACTCTGAGGTATCTAGGAAGGCAATGGGAGGAGTTTAACTCGGGGGAGGCAGAAGATGATACAATTTTATTTATGCTTTAAGAAGACTACCTATCTGCTATAATGAGAAGAGACCAGTGGGGACAAGAGTGGAAGCAGGGAGACCAGGGAGGAAGATATGGTCCAGGCACAAGAGATTGGTGACTTGAAACATGAGAAGGGTGATGGAGAAAGGCTGACTGGCTCAGTATACGTTCTGGATGGATTGCCAAAGGGACAGGATGCAAACCAACAGGCATGGGGTAGGGAGAGGCAGGCACCCGCGGCGGCTCCCAGGTGGGCGTCGATGTCTTCAGTAGGCACTTGACCTTAGACTGCCAGCCTGCACACAGTCGTTATAAAAATTACGAGGTCTTTTATGCCTACAGATCTCGCTTTGCTTTAGAAATTAATGCAATCTCTGTATCAGTTGAATCAGTCAGTGATAAATGGTCACTACAGGTTATTGATTATAAAAGTGCAGGCCATCCTCTTCCTGCTTTCCCGCCCCTGATGACCAGTGGTTTTATCCACACTGACCATTTCCTATCAGATCTAAATCTGACGCTGTCCGGAGTGTTCCTTGGGGCCAAGGTGATATGTCCCTGGTGCCAGCATCCCCAGAGGGAGCCATTACAGACTCAGCGTCTTCCAGACCCAGGTCTCTAATTGAATCTCCATCCGATTTTCAGAAGCTAACTCTGCAGTTAGGAGGAGTTAAGTGTACAATTAAGAAATGGCTCATCCCTCGTAGTACTTACAGTTTTATCGGATGACATAGGCTAAAAAATTGGCAAAGGGCAAATCTTGTATTGATTTAATTGTGTGCTAAATTGGACCTGCCCAGCGTGATCAGCTTTGAGTTTATTTTATAGGATAAATCCTTCAGTCAGGGAAAGGATTTATATTTCTTTGCTTCTTAGAGAGAAGTAGAGATTATCTGTGCCACGGAAAAGATAGAAAACCATAATGGGTTAGGGGCAGATGTCTCCTGGGTTTTGAGCACAATCAGCAGCTGCAATCAAGGAAGGCAGCTGCTGTGGTCAATGTCCTACAGCCAGATGAATCCTTTGCGGAGGCCGTGCTCCATGGTGGTCTTGAGCAATCCCTATTCTGTCTTCCATCATTCCTGGCCGAGTCCCTGCAACCTAGTCTCCCCCAGAGCTTCCTGCTTTGACAATACGGATTGGATTAGCCAGTTTGCAGCTTCAGGCTAACTGACAGTCTGGGAAAGCAGGTCCACCCTCTACCTTTCGAATCCATCAAGAAAAGCCTGGGGCAACTTACTCAGATTGTTGTCACCCAAAAGAAGACAGAGAAACTGGAAGACAGAAAAACTGGGCCCGTGGGCATCAGAGGGAGTGGGCTGAGAGGACAGCAGATGGAGCATTTGTACATTTGCACTTTGCTCAGCCCTTCAAGGTCAGGTCTGGGCATCTTCCTGAGCCAACATCTGCTCAAATAGGAGTAAACCTTGAGCCAGCACAGGCGGACAGCTGGGAGCAGACTAGACATGAGAGCACGTATAATCTCACACATGCCTGTGAGACAGGCAGGACCTGTAACCCCACTGGACACACAAGGAGTCACCTGGCGGGTTAAAGTGAGGTCTGTCTGCACCGCGCCATGCAGCCCGGCAGGAGCCCCTTAGCGCTCTTTGTAGCGTCACACCCAGGCCTCCCTGGAACCTGCCCTGTCTATGTCTGACAGGCCCGGGGAAGAGGTCTGTCTGAGCCTGGGGGAAGGAAGGGAGGAACAGAAGGCGCTTTTGCTATCACAGGGCAGCAACCATCACAGAAGGAAGGATTGGGCAGGGATCTAAAAATGGCTCAGCCTTTTTCTTGAGCTCACTGGTGGCCTTCCACGCTGCATTGCTTTCCTCCCAAAGCATCTTTCAAAAGTGCCAAGAAATTGTGAGAAGCCCAATTCACTCCCTTTTTCTCACCATGCAGGCTGCACCCAGAGCCTCCTTCTCCTGGAGCACATATGCTATCAGCCTCTCACTGTCGAGGTGCTGAGACATTCTGGAGCAATCTCAACAAAATAAAAGCCCTACTGTTGATATGCATGTTAGTTCTTAAGCTTGTTTCCCTTGTGTCTCTAGTGGATCTGCTTGGTTGCTCAAACTTAGAATTTGTTGTTCAGTCGCTCAGTTGTGTCTGACTCTGCAACCCCATGGACTGCAGCGTGCCAGGCTTCCCTGTCCTTCACCATCTCCCAGAGCTTGCTCAAACTCATGTCCATTGAGTCAGTGATGCCACCCAACCATCTCATCCTCTGTTGTCCCCTTCTCCTTCTGCCTTCAATCTTTCCCGGCATCGGGGTCTTTTCTAAAGAATTGGCACTTTGCATCAGGTGGCCAAAGTATTGGAGCTTCTTCAGCATCAGTCCTTCTAATGAGTAGTCAGAATTGATTTCCTTTAGGATTGACTGGTTTGATCTCCTTGCAGTCCAAGACGTTGGGTGTTTAAGCTTCCCAACACTTCAGCTTTTCAGGGTTCTCCATTATAAGGGAAGACAGTTCCTCCAGATCTCAGAGGTTCTCTGTGCTTTGCTTTTCTTAGGCTTCCAGGGGTCTGAATTGTTATTTTTCTCAAAATTGGTTCCCTGTTTTTGTAATTTTTTTTCCCAATCTGGGTTCTGTGGACATGAGACCAAACAATGGAACAAAACCATGATGCCAGCAAAATGGCCAAAATATGTTTCCTATCATAGCTACATTTGACCTGATCAACATGTATCCCCTTGTTGGGGTATGTACACTTCATATCCTCACTCTCTGAGGATGCATCTCCTTCAGGGGCAAAGCAAATAAACCATGTCTCAACCAAACCGTAAAATCCAGGCACAATCCATCACTGAAATAATTCTTTATGATGCAATCCCTTCCCCTGAAACCCAGTGGGCATCCTCTTTGTTGCCTTCTAGATGACCTTTTCTGCAGAGATCAAAGCCAACAGGTTAGACAGCTTGCCAATGCTGATTTCTTCTCTCCTGGGGTCTCCTAAACCCCGGGTTAACACATGACTTGTCCTGCGATCCATTTTGTCCACTTTCTTCCAAATGTTCCTCAATTCGTCTGCTCCTGGGCAGCAGCATTACTTCTCCTCTTTGGCTGCTGGTGGGCTTGACACCTTCTGCACGCATGTCCTCTTCCTTGTCTCTGTCCTCAGCTTCCCTGGCTGCACGAGCGGTCCCTCCCACTCCCTGGACACCAGCAGTGGCCACCTGGCTCTCAGGCTCTGGGCCAGAGAACTGTGTGCCTCTCTTCCTGGACGTGGGCCTCGATGTCACAGCCATTCTTATCCAGTAGGTACCTCGGTATTAGTTATTTTGCCTGAATAAGATCACTAAATACAGTCATCTCCAGTCCTTGCTAAGTGCATCAGGGCAGAGCAGGTCAAGCTGGCATCGACAGGGACATATTAGTGTGGGGAAGGTTTATTATCTCTGCGAAGTGAAAACTCCTCGGAAGGTAAGCAGGAGGGAGCAGAAACTCATGACAGAGGACCATGCTTTTCCCCCACATAGTGAAAGAGGGGAGGCTCCTGATGTCCATCTTTTCTGCAGAGATCCTCTGTAGCAGCCATGTTAAAGAGAACTCTGGGCATTTTTCTAACCATTTCAGACTTCCTGGGGATGAGACTGCTGCAGATCCCAGGTTGTCTAACACACAATATGCCAGAGGGGAGGCTCGGTCCTCATCAGGGCATGAAGTCTCTTAGCACCTGAAAGGCGGTCACATTGTTGTCCCCGAAGGTGCCTGTCACTCCTGGAGTGAACTGGGCGGCAGAGGAAGGTTAAAGGGTCCGGGCATGTCTGCCATGCTCATGTAATCCTGCTTCCACGTTAAACCTCTAACATCCTCGTCTGTAATGAGAGGCTTAAAAGCAAACCCTTGCTGCTCTCCCCTTGGAGATGCAGGTCTGCAGAAACCACAGTTCAGATCAAGTCTGCCAGGGTTCATGCATGGGCCATGGGCATTCAGGACGATGCTTTACCAGTCACTCTCTTCTGTGGGATAGTGATCCATTCTCTGAAAACTAGCTGAGGCCTCTTCTTGCTCAAAAGACTCTGTGCCTTGTTAAAGGATAAACTGGCACCGAGAAGTGGTCCAAACCCCATGAGACCAATGGGAGCCTGTCTCCTGCAGCTCATCTCTGAAACCATTATGTACCTAGTCTTTTCCTGAAGCTTGAACAAAGCCCCAGCTTTGGTTTCCATTTTGGTAAATCCCAGATCTGCCACTTCCCAGCTTTATGAGCTTGGAGAAGTCACCTCTCTCTCTGAGCCTCATGACCTCCTCTGTACAAAGAGATGACAACCTCCATCTCTGGTTTCTGGGAGGGTTCCATGAGGTCATTTTGTCAGGAGGCCAACACAGCTTCTAGACTGTAGGAGACTCAATACATTTGATTTTATAATAAATACATACTATGAAATTTTTTAATGATCAGTTTAATCATGTTGCACTAAAACAGTGTGCACATGAAGTCAGGAGGCTGGTTACCATCATAGCTATGAGCGCGTTCCTCTCAGCTCCATCCCAGAAAAGGGAGCTCTTCACTTCCATCTCTGGCTTATAATCTTACATTGTAAATATATAGTCTCTTTAACTGACAGATTCAGAAATGGAAGCGTCTCAAGTTCTTGAGGTTTTTTCTTTAAAATGACAACAAACTTTAACTATGGATGGATCCCCTGGTCTTGTGTAAGCCTGAAATTCTGCAATAGAATATTTACAAATTCCTTATTCAGTAAGAGTGTTAGATACTTGGGTATCTGGTTTGTTGGTTTTATCCCCCCATGAGAACTGGCTCAGGACAAAGTTTATTTTGTTTCTGTTGCTCCAATTCAAAGTGAAAAGAGCATCACTGACTCCCACGAAAGGCATAGATTCTTAAAACTCAGGTAACCTGCCTCATTGACTACAAGAGTGTCAGTGAGCGATCTAGCATTGCAGTTTAACCACCATCAGGGCAAGACCCAGGCCTCACAGAGAAGGAGCAGCATGAGGCAACTCACTATGTAACTGTGCAGCCTGAAATTAGAGGCTGCCTCAAACCACAGCGCCCAGCAGACCTCCAGTGGGGGGCTAGGAGGGGCCCCCATGAGCTCTCAGAGCTCAGTGTGAACAGCCTTTCCTGGGGCTGAGCGAACCATGGGGTCACAGCTAGAGATGCCCCCTTGGCGAGGTCACTACCGTTAAAAAAGGCCCTGTAGGCACCACCAGTTGGTGATAATATTAATGCATTCAGTCCTCCAGCTCTCTGCATCCTGGAAGCTCACTTCTCTTTTACTGGCAAGCAGCTTTTTCCTGAGCCCATGTAGTCAGAGAGGACTTAACCACCTGCTTGACCTCACACAGCAAAGCTGAGGACAGAATTCAGGGCCCTTCAACCTAGCAAATGCCAGCTCTATCCCCTCAGTCCTCAGGCTGAGCAGGTAAGCGGAAGGGATACTGAGGAGCTGGGAATCCCCCTCTGCGGTGCTGCTGGGATCCTACAGATTCAGACGGGTCGGCCACAAGAATATTTTTAAATCCTGCAATTTCGCAGTGACCCTGGAACGACTAGCTGGCAGAATCCAAAGTTCACCTCCTGCGGTCTTTCTCACACTTGGCTCTATTCTGGTGGCTCTTCAGTGTTTGTTCCTGCCTCCTTTGCTCAAAGGATCTGGTATCTGCATAATTAGTAGGACCTCCAGTGTGACTCCCGTCAGTGTTGGGCGGGCGGTGAGATTTCAGGGAAGCGGGATATTGGCAAAACCTCCCAAGGCTCGGCTGTATCTGTCTCTGCCTCTGGTAGGAATTTTCCAAAGTACGGTGGACTGGTCCTCCATGCCTGTTCCTGACTATGGGCTCAGTGAACCTCTTCTCCTGCATAGCAGCTCCATGGGAGACAGTTCTACCTGGGCTGGCCTGCTAGGACTTTCTTACTCCCCCAGTTTGCATCAGTTGTTGAAATCAGGCCCAGAGAAGAGGTCATGATAGGCTAAGGTCACAAGGGGCAGGGAAAAGTCAGGCTGAGGACCCTCAAACAGTGCACGTGGATCTCAGGTGTTTCTGTCTCTCTTTGTGGCTGGACCTCCTGCCACTGCGAGTATCCCGTTCTTACATTCAGGCTCAGATGCTACTGAATCCAGAGACACTGGAACCTCCCCATTAGTCAGGTCACTCCTCAAGAGCGAGGCATCAAGCAAGGAAGGGTCCGCAACTCTGCCAGGTACTCTGCAGGAGGGAGAAGTCACGCCTACAGGATGCAAGCTGCTTCTGTGCTTGGCTGGGCTGGTTTGATCCCTCCCTGTGTTCATGTTTCAGAAAATCATGAAACGGCTCATTAAAAGATATGTCCTGAAGGCCCAGGTGGACAGAGAAAATGATGAAGTCAATGAAGGTAAGCGACTGGATCTGCTTCCTGGAGGGCGGAAGCCAGATGTGGTCTCACCGAGCCTGCAAAGTCAAGGTATCGGCGGCAGGGCTCGGTCCCTGGCTGGAGACCCTGGAGAGACTCACTGGAGGTGTTGGCAGAATAATGCAGGGGAACACAGTTGCAGGACTGGGGTCTCTGTTCCCTGGCTGGTGGCCAGCTGGGGCTGCCCTTAACTCTGACCACAGAGCCCTCCACCTCAGCACCAGCACCAGGACATGAAGCCCTAATCACAGAATCTAATCACAGACTGCCTCCCCAGTCACGGCTGATACAAGTCGCCTCCTGTCCCTTGAGCTCAGGACAGCCCTGAGCTCCTCATCCCCAGAGGGCACAGACAGGCAGACCTAGACAGCCCCTGTTCTGGCTGACTCCATCCTATCTCACATCCTGGCTCTCAGAAACTACCAACCAGCAGTTTCTCAAAGAATTCCTTCCACCCCCTCAGAAGTGCTTGCTATAAAAGCGGATCCAGAGCTCCCCCGCCCCCAAGGCCTAATAAATCAGCATGGCCTGGGCGTCTGCCTGTGATACAAGTACCAGGCATTCTAGTACCAGGCATTCATTCTGACGCACGCTGAAGTTTGCCAACTACATTATTTTCACTGTTTGGGTTATTTTCCAGTCTATTTTAAGCAGCTACTCTTAAGTGAAAAGCGAATGACCATACACCAGGTAATTAATCTTCATGAGACACCTGGGACAAATATTTGCTACCTTCCAAGAGTGAAGGTACCAAGTCTTTCCCTTGCCAGGGTCCCAGAAGCCTCTGGAAGGAGCTTAGTCATTTAGTGACTCTCTGCTTCATCCTGGGACATCACTGTGCAGCCTCAAGATCAGCAATGACCAAATGACCCCTGGGCTGACACTGTCTAGGTTCTGAGCAGCAGCCCATCTGCCCACTCTACTGTTGGGTCTCAAATACAACACAGCCGGGTACCATGGCAGCCAGCCCTCTGAAGTGTGTAGCGTGACTGACAGGAATGTAACTGATTATAGAAGGTGGGGCTGTCCAGGTTTCATGCCACGGGGATCAGAGCATGAAACTAGGGCTTAGTGAAGCCCCCATGAAAACAAGAGATGTATGCCTTTGTCAAAACTGGCCAGACTATAGCTTTAAGACTTCTGCATCTTCTGTGTGTCAGGCACACTTGGAAAATAGGTATGGCTAATGTGTCCCCCAGCAGTGGACTCCCACTTGAGTCAAGAGTCAAGTCCAGTATCTCCCAAACCAGGCAAGGACCTTTCGACCCCACTTTGTGGTGAATGAGAAGATTCCCACAGCCCAGGCCCATGTGGACCTTTAACCATGTGGCTCACTGTGGAAATGAGTGGAAAACCCTACCTAGTTGGCCCCGTGCCATAGAAGGAGGAGGCGGCAGGCCTGCCGTGGTGCTCCAGTGAGGCATGCTGCTTGCGTGATCTGGGCAGACCCTGCTCCTGTGAGGCCGCCTGGCTCCATAGCTATGGCCACTGATCAGCCGAGCTGATTCCCTCAGATGCCTGGGAGTTCCTCCTCCCTGCAAATGATGATGACAAGACAACACATGAAGCATGATGAGAAAGAAATATTAAAATTAACAAGGGTGCCGCTCAGAGTCTTAAAATCTGCCTTTAATGGCTCCAAGACCAATGTTCTATCATGATAAAATAGGTGCAAGCAGTTCACCCTGATCTTGAATCCTCTGTCTACCTCAAACCCTTCAGGGAGAGCTTGACCAGGAATGGGAGAAGGGTCTTCAGTGGACGAATATGTCCTTTAGTGGGAAGAGCTGGGTGGGATTTAGGTCAAAACAGACCTCCCGTCGCCTCACCTCCACCCTGGGGGGCTGGATCAGTAGCCTGACATTCTGCTGGAAGAAGGCAAGCCTCAAATGCCTCTAGGCTGAGCCCCTTCTGCAGGCTCATACTCACCGAAATCTCCTCTGTCCTTGCAGGCGAACTGAAGGAAATCAAGCAAGATATCTCCAGCCTGCGCTACGAGCTCCTTGAAGAGAAATCTCAAGCTACCGGAGAGCTGGCCGACCTCATCCAACAACTCAGTGAGAAGTTTGGGAAGAACTTAAACAAAGACCACCTGCGGGTGAACAAGGGCAAAGACATTTAGCAGCCGGCATCCATCGGCACCTGTGACTTCTACCAGCATTCCAAGGCCAGGTGGGATGCCCTGGCCACCAGCCCTGGTGGGGAGGGGCCCTGGCCCACTCCTCTAGGACTCTAAGGGGACCCACTGGCTCCGTCCTGACCAGCCTTGCTGGCATTTGCAGCCCAGTGGCCTGCCTGGACCCAGAATGATCGTGAATCTAGGCTGTTGGGTGAGAAACTCGACCACAGGAGGAATGGAGGAAGTGGCCCCCTGACACATGGGGACACCTTCAGTCCAGTCTAGGGGCATACGTCCCAGTGGCCAGCGCAGGAAAAGGCCATCTCGGATGCACACGCGTGCCCTCCCACCGCACACAGACTGCCGTGCTGTCTGCGTGCAAGAAGACGAACCACCTCACCCCACATACCCCTGCTCACTCCCTCCCCTGACCCACACACCCAGAAGAACCGGGCGGTGACCTGTGATCTATTCTTAAGTGCCAGATGAGAACACAGATAGCCTACTAGCAAAATAGTTCTATTTGTTTATATTAAAAAAAAAAAGTTTAAAAATCCTAAATCAAAAATTGTACTGTAGGTAGCACTGTTCAGAGAACAAGAACAAAATCCAAATGATGTATTTTTACCTTTATGAAAATTATCTTGTATTTACTATTTTTACCTGAAACGGAAAGAAATAAAATTACCTCATAATAGCCCGGGGAGACTCTGTGGATGCACTGCCCTCCCGTTGTCTGGCGTCCTCTCTGGAGGCGGCCTTGGGCGTCCACAGAGCGGGGCTGCCCTGGAAGGAGAATGAGCAGGTGAGAGCGGGGCAATCCCAGGGGAGTCATGCAGCCAGGAACCCCCGCCGCCAAGCATCTCTTCCTGTCCCCAGACCTAGTGACCCCCAAGCTCGCCGAGGTCAGGAAGGAGGCAAAGGAAATGATGAGGAAAGTGGAACAATCTCCCCCACCCCACCTCTCACCCTCTCCCCTCGAGTGGCAGGGGAGGGGATCCGGGTGAAAGGAGCCCAAAGCTTTCTAAAGGGGCCTGATGTGTGAGTAAAGAGCAGCCACCAGAGGGCGCCCCGGTCCTGAGCAACGCCCAGTCGGAGCTGGCTGGAGAAGAGGCCGCTGGGCCGGAAGAATCCCTTACTAGTAACACCAGCTGGTTGTATTGAGTGAGCACTTACTGAGTACCAGGCACTGTGCTGAGGACTCTGCAGGCATCCGTCCACTGAACCCTCACAACAACCCTATGAAGAGGAAGAGGATCAAGGTCTCAAATTCAGACGCCTTGCAGATACCCAGGGTGTGTGTATACGTGTGTGACTATGAATGTTTCCTATATGTATACGTATGAGGGGCTTGTGTTCTGTGGTATGCAGTATATCTTCAGAGATAATTTGTTTACTTATTCCTGCTCTAAGAACAATGCAGACCAAATGGTGTGATAGACAGAACTGAAATAGTTCCAGCATTGAGGTGTCAGGGAGAGGCTGTGACAAGCCAGACAGCCACAGCCTACCTCAAGTGGGTGTGGACACCCAGCCCAGCTAATTGTTGCCATAAGGAATAACAGGCCCAGTTTTGCTAAATCGTCCCCATTTCTAAGGGGCTGTGGGGGGGGGGGCGGTGGGGTGGGGAGAGAAAGGTTACATTTGTTGCAGCCAACGTGGGTGACTAGAGAAGCTGTCCTGAAATGTGACTCCAACCCAGGCTTTCCAGGCAAGAAAACCCTCAGCAAGAAGGATACACAGGGACCAGGGTTATCTGTGTGTGCAGGGGCCCTTACAGACATAAACTCTGCTCCAGGAGTTTTCTACCTGGGGGCCATGTGAGGTCCTTGAATGGATTTCAAAGAACCTGCCAGTCCTGAAGTTCCCATCAAATCAGGAGCTTGTCTTTGTGATTGTGTCGTTATGGAGAGAATACCTGAGGTTTTTCTCAAATGCTCATCCCTAGCCCTCAAAGCCTGCAGATGAGGACTGAATTCCTTCAGTAGAATTTCCCAAGTCCCCAGAGAAGTACCAAGGATGCGGCGTGTGTGTGTCCAGAGGAGGATACGTAAATTACTCTTCCCACAAAGCACATCAGCCTCCCAACCGCAGGTACAAATGACCAACACTTTCAGGGACGATTTCCTTTCAGATACTGCACGGATTGACTTCAAAATGCTAATCAACATTTTAAGATGCATTATGCAGTTTCCCTATCTCACCAGCAACAGCCAGCAACCCCATGTTCAAATCCTGGGATGCCCTTTTCCTATCAAACCTAAGTCTCCAATGTGCCCCTTCGGGAGATAAAAGGAAAACAAGTCCCACTGAGTCATTGAAAACTGGGAAGGGAAACTAGTAGCACCCGTTAGGTTTGGCTGCCACGTCTGGGGGTGATGGTACTCCAGGAACGGATTTGTGGCTGCCAGAGGAGAGGATTCAATGGACCCAATGGATTCGTGGGGGCGAGGGGGGGGGGAGGGCCATCTCTTACATGGAAGGCTGTTGGAGAGGCCTGGGAACCAAGGGCTGGTGGAGCCACCAACCCGGAGCCAGGGGCAGGCGTGCAGTGGTTCTCCAGGCACTGGCAACTTCCCTCACTTTCCCCCCGTTCCTTGGCTCCTATGGAGCTAGCCAGGCAGGAGAAGCAGCTCTTGGAAAAATGAAACAGGAGGCAGAGGAATGGAGTCTGAGAAGGGCACAGAGGAGGAGAAGAAAGAACCCAAGAGCCCCTAGACTCACCCTTCCCAAAGTGCCCGACCCGTCCCCGTGCAGCCCGCTGCACTTCTGTCAGTTGTGACTTCAGATTTCTGTGACTTTAGTGTATGCTTGCAACCTGAGCATGTGGGGCTCGGGAGACGTAGCCCTGTCCAGGCTTCCGGGTAACCAGCGGTTAAGCAGCAAGTTCTCCAGCGACCTGTCAGCATCTGATGGTTCCTAGTAGGACATGACAGATCCTAGTAACATTTCCTGGGCAGAAACCCTCAATTAGTGTCCAAAGCTATTCATGAAGGACGAGAGCTCACACACTTGAGAAAGCACAGCCGGCCCCCTCTGCCCATCACAGAGCATCTCCCCCGGTCCCACTGAGCCCCGGACATGAAAGACTGGCCAGTACAGGTCAGGCCCAGGGAGACTCCCTAACTCGGGTGTGACTGCAGAAATTGCTCCCAGCAGCCCCGGGCTTGGGGAGCCCCTGAAAAGACACCTTCAGGTCTGCTTGCCTGGGGGAGGCTGAGACACCTTGTCCCGCTCCGTGTCTGGTTAAAAATAAGCAGCAGCCCCAGCTCCTGTCACGCCTCAAAGTGTTCATTAATGCTTATGTAAAGGGTAGAGCTCAGACTCCTGGAGGCTGACGGGAGCTCTGATTCCGCTGGGGCAGGGAGGCCACGCCCCGCTCTATGTTTATCCCATCTTGTCCCCTCATCCCTTGAAGGGTGAACTGAAGAGGGAAGGGACTCTGGGAGGAGCACCCGGATGTTAATCAGCCCAGGCTGCTTAACCAAGGAGCAAAGCCCCTTCCACCCTCCCTGCAGACACAGCACGCTCCCCAAGTCCCCCCGCCTCCTCCCTGCCTGGGAGCAGAGGCCGCCCCGCTGGCTTTTCCTGGAGAAATGCCCCAGCTTTCTCCCTCCACTTCCCCACCACAGTCAAGCCACAGGGATGGCCCATGACCTGCACTTTAGGGAGAAAATGACAGGAGGAAAAAAAAAAGAAAGGTGTCCAGGGCTTGGGTTCCCAAAGGCCTGAGTCTTTAAAGAAAGGAGAGGATTGAAGGAAGAATAAAAAATTTGAAAGAAGTGGTATTTGAGGAGTCAGGACTCTTCCCCGTCCAGAAGGGGTGTGAGAGGGACGGAGGGGAGGGTCTGAGAGCTGAGAGGCTGAGGCAGCTTGGCCCTGTCTGTGGAGGACAAGTTGGCTGTAGAGATGGGACCACAGCCGGAAGGCCATGTCCTTGCCCACCTGCCCCACCTGGGCATCCAGGGAGGCAGGAGGAGGAGGGGCAAGGACGGGGCTCCCCCGGGCAAGCAAGACAGGGAGGAGGGCACTCTCACTACAGTATGATTAAAAAGTGTGGATTCCACGGCCTCAGAGCATCTGCATCAGGTGTAACTGGACCCAGCAGCCCATCAGATGTGCCCACTGACAGGCAAGGCCATGGTCCCACCGCACTGATCCTACACACCCCCAGGCCAATGGCCTGCCTACCCCTGCAGTGCACTGGAGAAGCAGAAGGCCAAAGAAGCCCTCATATATCCAAAGAAAAGCATGCCAGGACCCATTCACAGGCGTCTGGGTGCAGACTCAGCACTCACAGTACCCGGAGCTTCTAACTGAGCCCCTTCCACATAACCACCTCCAGGGCCCTGTGTGCTGGCGGGTAAGGGTGAGGAAGGGGGGCAGGCAGATGCAGGGCAGGGGAGGGCAGGGCCATGCAGGCTTTGTACTGGCCGTGACCCCCTCTTTGGCTGGAAGCAGATCTCACCCTAACCTCAACCCAACCCACCAGAGGATCCCATGCCCCTGAATCCAACACAGCCCCGAGCAAGGCGATCACACGCCTGCCCTGAAATGGCTATCTGATCTGTGTGCAGCCCCGAGCAGGGTGATCACACGCCTGCCTTGACACTGGTATCCATGTGCAGCCCCAAGAAGGGCGATCACATGCCTGCCTTGACACTGGTATCCGTGTGCACACTGGGAAGGAGAGCTCCTTTTTCCCAGTAAGGTTGCTGAAAAGGAGAATGTGAATCTGGGACTCCGGTAGACACTTCTCCCCCAACACAGAGACAGGCTGTCTGCCGGCGAGGTCAGCGATGAGAAATTAAGGAGATGGAAGAAGTAGAGGTCGGAGGGAGGTGGGGGAGAAGAGAAAAAAAGAGGGAAGGGAAGAGAGGAAAGGTGGAGAGCAGAGCTGTGCCACATTCTCGCCCCGATGCCCTCTTCCTGCAGCTTTTCCGACACCTGGGGGCCTGTTCCAGGAGCCTCTCAGCTTTGTGCATGGGTGGTTAGTCGCTCAG